GGTAGTTTAAATGTTTCATTAGATGCTAATGTCTTACTGTGTTTTTAATTGTTGAGGAATTAGTTGCTGGAATATGAAAACCATCTGTTTGTTATCTTCCTGGAGGGGGAATCTTTACCAAGGCTCTGCTCTCAGGGTTGTTAAAGGAGTTTATCCTTATGGTGCAACCTGGTGGAACTGTCAGTCTTCATTAACGTCATTATGATTGCACAAGCAAGACTGTGAAAACCCACATACGCCCGTATGCACACACACACACACACTCATAAACAACATTATTATGTACACACACTCACAGGCGTGTACATATGGGAGATGCTTGCTTTCCAAAGAACGATCATTTTTACAAGAAACTGCATTACGTTTGTTATGACAGTTAATCTAGCGAGCAGCAGTAGGTAACGATCATATGCCAAAACCAGAAAGAGCTTAGAAACAATAAAAATGAACACAATAGATATCACACTTTATGTGTCTAGACATCAGACTAATTTTAGAGTTAGTGAGATGCCCTGTTAAACTGTAAATGTGGAGTAATGAACAATGTGTGGACATAGAGGTTTATAGACAGGACTGCTCCAGCTTTCTGATTTATCGACTGTGGGTGGAAACCCGATTTGCACTGAACTTTTTGATGATGGTAATTTATCGTGGCTTCCAGGATTGTACTTTTTTCTTTAACACCTCTATTAATAAAATGTCTTCAAAAATTACTCCGAGAACTCATAAGAAATGACCCGCGTGCCTTCAGGAAAAAGTACTTCATTTTTCAAAGGCTATTTAAGAGGCATTAAGTGGAATTGAGTGGGGAAACCTAACAAATCTCCACATCGCTTTTTAATTTCTCATGTAAAGGATGTACCTGCTTAACTGGTTAAAGGTAGTTTATCTGGGTTCAATATCTGTGTTAATATTTGATTATTAACTCAACTCAGAGTAAGTAAATATGCACCATCCTTTTACATAAACATTTACATTACTTAAATGGAGAATAATACAAGTGCTTCCTCATAGTCATTTATTTAGTGTTGTTTTTTTCTTCTTCAGAACACTTAACGCTCAGTATGAAACTTCCTGTAGCATATCCTGCACAGTGCTATGCAAATGATTGAGTGACATCACCCCCCCCCCCCCCCCCTTTTTGGGGGGGGGGGGAGGGGGGGGGTGGGGGAGTATACACATGCATGTTGAATATTTCCTCGGGCTGATAGAGCCATATAATGAATCACATTACTATATGAATTTTTACAGCCAGTGTCCATTATAAATCTCTTCATCTGAACTGTAGGCAATACTGAACTAAAACTTGTTTATTTAAACTTTTATCCTTTTATCTCACTGCCCAGAGTCACTTCTTGAAAAGTAATACCAGCTGTTTCAAGTTTTTGTTTACAAAAATGATGTACGTTGGTTAAAAAAAAATTAAGTACAAAAATACTCACGGTATACAATACCTTTTCCTAAAACAAATGTTTTTAATAAGTCTAATGAAAACAAATGGCTTACACAAAATGTTACCCATATTAGGATGCATTGGCTGATAAGCTTAATAGCTAAATGTGGAATTGATATTAAATACAGTAGTTTTACAATAGATTCAAATACAATAACACATTATTTTATTAACTTTTTTCATTTGGTTATTTACTATTCATTGTCCTTTTATTATTTTCCAATTTATTATTGAATCCGTTTATTTATATTTTATATATTTTTTAATGCTGGATATATATTCCTTTCCCCCCTCTTTTTTTAAGTTTCCCTTGAACTTAAAAGAGCAGTTGAGAAGAGCATCTCACACAGTGTCATTTTCAGGTTTGTTGAGAGTCCACCGTATGAGTCAATGGATGATTATCAGCTGAATCTGTCTGCTTTTCTCGGACTGATGTTTTCTCTGAGCATCGGTGATGTGAAAGAGGTTTGGCCAGTGCCGTTGTAGATCAGAAGTGGGATTGAAATGATTTAGGAAGTCTAAATAAAGACAGTATTTGACCTTGAAGCACAAGGCTTCTCAACAGGAATAAAACACGACACGTACATAGAAATGCACCTAGTTGACTTGTCTATCCTCCCTCAACTTCAAACTTTACAGTCCTTGTCCTCCCTTTTGTTACTGCCAACTCTCACTCAGTCTCTTTCTCTCTCTGAGCAGTGCCTGCCTCTTATCACGGTGGCCTGCTGGTAGAAGCAAGCGTCTCTGCCTGGAGTCACTGAGCTTCTCCCTCTGAGAGAGATCCTTTCACATAGCTAATGGCTACAGAAAGGGAACAGTTTCATTTTAATTATGTGCTTTACTCAAGGGCCCTCTTCCCCGCAGTCCCTTATCCCGCCTGTGCGCCTTTAACAACCCACAGCCTGCACCAGTGAAAAGAGATATTCTCCAACCCTCATCTTCTCCCCTCCCCCGTCCCGCTGCCTTTGTCAAGAACTATCGCAAAGAATCTGTTTTTATTCTCCTACGTGATGGGGAAGTATGAAAGAGCGAGTGAGACAGAGAAAGAGGGAATGTCTGGGAGAGAAAGATAGGAAAAGAAATGAGTGGCCGTTCTATCTCTCCATCTTGGTAAACAACCCCCCAGTGTGCCGTGGCCTGCTCTGCTTTTTCCATTAAGTGACACTGCAGTCATTTACAGCTCATCTCGACTCATAAAACTGGGTTTTCATGTGCTGAGAGATGAAGGCGGCGGGTTTTTGGCAGTGCGAGGGGTACGGAAACAGTCCGTCTGAATGGCGAAGCTTCAGAAGACGTAAATTGCAGACCTTGATGACAGTTGCCGGGTCCCAGGAGTATGCCATTGTTCTCCAGACTTTACTGGGGCTCAGATGTTTTTGGATTTTACGTCCTCCTCCCGTTTTCCCCCTCGTCCTTCTCCTCTACACTCTGCTCTTGTTCTTTATGATTTCTCGTCTGCTGAAGGACACCTGCTGTGAATCTCTGGTCCTTGCATGGGGAGAGTGGCTTACTGAATGGAAAACTGCTTTTGATGTAGTTTGGTGGGTTTTTATTTCTCTTCTCACAGGTCTGATATGAAGTCAGGCTTCTCCAGATAAAACCGTGTAGATGTCAGTGGTCAGAGTCGCTTTTGCTGTTTATTTATTTTTGCTATTTCTTTTGTTGCTCTTTATTTGATAAAACCCAGTTTCAGTATGTTCAACCCTCTGTGCCATATCTTCAACACATTTACAAGAATTTTGGGTTACCATTTTGGTGTCCTATTCTCGCTGCATGAATATATGTTATATTTTAATGTTTATAATCTATTATTTTGGAACATTGGCCAATGTATTTGTAACAAAATTTAAGTCCAGGGAAGGAGGAGGCAGGAACCAGCGAACGTTCATCGCAAAACTTTAATCACAAAATAAACATAAACAACAAAATGAAAAGTGCAGCCTCTGATGGATGACTGCCACATAAAAACTAAAACAAAACAACAACACAAAGTCCATGCCTGGTCCTCTCTCGTCTTCCACTGTCATCACTCCTCCTTTTATACTTCTGGAGCACCTCTGTGGGACTCGAGACCGGTGTGGCCACGGTATTCATAGTGATGAAATTATATGAAACAGGGTTCCTACGGGTCCTTGAAATCCTTGAAAGTTTGTGAATCTGAAAAAAAAATTCAAGGCCCTGGAAAGTTTTGGAAAATAAACACACATAGAGACAGGTCTTTAAAAGTGCTTGAATTTATTTTGTGCAAGAAGTTTTCTGGAAAAAATTCCATATTATTCCAACGCATTCTCATCCCAAAGCGTAATATTTTGACTCTTTTGCCAAAGCGTCTATATCCAACGCATATGGCACCCTTTAGCGTCAATATAACACGCTTCGGTTTTGGGTAGGTTTAGGTCTGGGGTAGTGTTAGGGTTAGACCACTAGGAGGCGCCATATATCTGCGTCTCATATGACGCTAAAGGGTGCCATGTGCGTTGGATATAGACGCTTTGGCAAAAGAGTCAGTATATTACGCCTTGGGATGAGAACGGGCTCATTATTCCCTCCGGTCTGATGAAAGTGTATTTCGCCAACACTTCGTGGCCTATGAACACTAGCTTGCTTGATTTACGCGTTATGTTTAGTGTTTCTCGCGTGAGGTACTTTGCCAATGACGTTCACGCGAGCACGAAACTACTACGATGGCACCTCGACGTTTGTTGTTGAACGCAACAAATGTGTCCCCACATTAAGTCCTTGAATTTGAGGGTATTGGACCTGGGAATTCATTGAAAGGTTCTTGAATTTGAAGTTAACCAAGGTGTGGGAACCCTGATGAAAGGATCATGACAGAATCTAGAGATGTCCCGATCCGAATTAGCATCTCCCAAATGTTCACACAACAGCAAAATATGGTTGTCAGTTTGTATTTGGCTGATTTGCACAGTAAGATCAGTCAGATTTGCGGTTTACGTTTATTATTTTTTTCTTTTTTTGAAAGAAATTAATAGTTTTTTCAGCAAGGACACATTCAGATGATTAAAAGTGACTGTTTATAATGTTACAAAAGATCTCAATTTAAATAAAATGCTGTTCTTTTGAATTTTCCATTCATTAAATAATCCTGAAAAAAAGTATTATGATTTCCACAAAAAATATTAAGCAATTGATAATAATAACAAATGTTTCTTGAGCAACAAATCAGTATAGTTGAATGATTTCTGAAGGGTCATGTGACTCTGAAGACTGGAGTAATGATGGTGAAAATTCAGCTTTACCATAAGAGTAATAAATTACATTTTAAAAGATATTCAAATTGGAAGAAGTTCTTTTAAATTGTTATACTATTTCACAATATCTTTGTTTTTGATCAAATGAATGCAGTCTTGGTTCACATAAGATTCTTTTAAATGGTAGTGTGTACATCCAATAGCTACCTTTTACCAGAGCTGTTTCCATTTGTTTTGTTTTTTTGGTCTGTGCTTTAGATACATAACTTAATTTAGTGCCTTTTCTCTTCTTGCTGTATCTAAATGTTTCTTTTTGCTGTCTTTGTGGTTTCCAGTTGAAGCCGGGCCAGAACAACTGCAAAGACAGCGACAGTGATAGCGTCAGTGGAGAATCCAAACCCTCCATCCGGAGCAGCTCCAGAGACAGACTGACAGACGTGAGTGACCAATCCAATCTGTGCAGCACTCACCATACTAACAAGAAATCACACTCAGTCAACACCCCTGAAAGTTTATAATGATCATTTAAAGAGTTGATTTTTTTTTTATTCTGTTTTCCATGACTGGAAAAAGAATTTAGCTCAAATATCAGCTAAATATTTCTTGTGTAAAGTTTGATTGCAAGCCATAGTGAAGTCTGATTTGTTAACAATTCCTTTTTTTCAGTGAATCCATCTGTGTGGGAACTCTGCATTTATAGCAGTCACAACTAAAATGCAAAATGTATCAGAACTGGCATTTAGTGTAGAATTGTACCATTGCTATTGTGTGTAGATGTTGCATGAAAGTTTAAGCAACCAGAAAAAAAGTTAAAGAGTTAAGGTAGGTCCTGTCTTGACACCTGATTTTTTTCTGTCAGTTGGTGGCTTTTCTTATCTGTCTCGTTCTTACAAACAACAAGGTTCAATATTTAAACAGTATTTTACAATTTCTCTTATCCACTCCATTGGTCTAGACAAGGCCCTGTGCCAACAGGAACAATAGGAGTGTTTTAAGAGCCGAGCTGTTCTTGAGCTCAGTGTGTGTGTGCTGTGCTTGTGTTGTCAGGGTGTGAGGTACATGTAGAATAGCGCGAAGGCTGTCTGCACCCCCAGGCCTGCAGGCTTTGGTATGTGTTTGTGCTCGGGTGGTGATAAGAACATCCTATTTACTCAGCTGGCAGCTACAGTGGAGACTCAGGCTGAAGCGCGACTGTGCTTATATACCAGAGAAGTGGAGACGACAGAAAGTAACACAGTGAAAAATGTAACAGTGACCATGCTTGGACATCAGTGATGTACCCTAAAAACACAAAGCACATAATTAAGCACTGAAACTCCAAATGTACTATTTCAACGTGATGTTTTACATTTTAACTGTTATTTGTGTATTCAGTCATATACAATCTAGATATACAATTAGTGTGTGCATATATACACTCACCTAAAGGATTATTAGCAACACCATACTAATACTGTGTTTGACCCCCTTTCGCCCTTCAGAACTGCCTTAATTCTACGTGGCATTGATTCAACAAGGTGCTGAAATCATTCTTTAGAAATGTTGGCCCATATTGATAGGATAGCATCTTGCAGTTGATGGAGATTTGTGGGATGCACATCCAGGACACGAAGCTCCCGTTCCACCACATCCCAAAGATGCTCTATTGGGTTGAGATCTGGTGACTGTGGGGGCCATTTTAGTACAGTGAACTCATTGTCATGTTCAAGAAACCAATTTGAAATGATTCGAGCTTTGTGACATGGTGCATTATCCTGCTGGAACTAGCCATCAGAGGATGGGTACATGGTGGCCATAAAGGGATGGACATGGTCAGAAACAATGCTCAGGTAGGCCGTGGCATTTAAACGATGCCCAATTGGCACTAAGGGGCCTAAAGTGTGCCAAGAAAACATCCCCCACACCATTACACCACCACCACCAGCCTGCACAGTGGTAACAAGGCATGATGGATCCATGTTCTCATTCTGTTTACGCCAAATTCTGACTCTACCATCTGAATGTCTCAACAGAAATCGAGACTCATCAGACCAGGCAACATTTTTCCAGTCTTCAACTGTCCAATTTTGGTGAGCTCTTGCAAATTGTAGCCTCTTTTTCCTATTTGTAGTGGAGATGAGTGGTACCCGGTGGAGTCTTCTGCTGTTGTAACTTGTAGCCCATCCGCCTCAAGGTTGTGCATGTTGTGGCTTCACAAATGCTTTGCTGCATACCTCGGTTGTAACGAGTGGTTATTTCAGTCAAAGTTGCTCTTCTATCAGCTTGAATCAGTCGGCCCATTCTCCTCTGACCTCTTGCATCAACAAGGCATTTTTCGCCCACAGGACTGCCGCATACTGGATGTTTTTCCCTTTTCACACCATTCTTTGTAAACCCTAGAAATGGTTGTGCGTGAAAATCCCAGTACCTGAGCAGATTGTGAAATACTCAGACCAGCCCGTCTGGCACCAACAACCATGCCACGCTCAAAATTGCTTAATTCACCTTTCTTTCCCATTCTGACATTCAGTTTGGAGTTCAGGAGAATGTCTTGACCAGGACCACACCCCTAAATGCATTGAAGCAACTGCCATGTGATTGGTTGATTAGATAATTGCATTAATGAGAATTTGAACAGGTGTTCCTAATAATCCTTTAGGTGAGTGTATTATACACATACCTTCTTTTTTTGACAAAATAGTATAGAATTTAAATATTGGCCATTCTGTGGTTATCGGCCATTATATGAAAATAATCGTCTGCTTATCGACATTGGCCAGAATCAGTGCATCCCTTCACGCACACACAGCCATATTTAACCCTCTTGAAGCAGCATTCAACCATGTGAAGGCAGTCTATACAGTTTACATTGCACTGAAAGTTATGTTATCGTTGTTTACGGATCTTATACAGAGGCTCGTGTGAAAGCTCAGGCAGTCTGGCATTGGCCCTCTTCAAACCTCAAGCTCTGGCTCCCGCAGTGGAGATGTGAGTCTGTGAGTGTGTGCCGGCACTATCAGATATCGGGCATAATTAGAGCTGTCAGCTGGAGGGCGAGGCGAGTCGTCGGAACAGACACGGCAGAACGAGTTGAGCGCGACCACTCCTGCATGTAGCTATAGGATGCTTGGCCAGGCATGAAATGAAATAAGTAATTTGATGTTGACATCAGAAATTGAAATGATACCTGCAGCCCCTCGTCAGGGAAGAGAGGGAAGACCGAAGAGATAAAGCATGAGAGGGGGTGAGGAGAGGGAAAGGGAGATAGGAAAAGAAGAAATGCAAGTGGAATAGGGGAAACAGATAAAGTTAGAGGTGAAACACAAGATTGAGTTTGATTATTGGACAGGTGAAAACAACCCGCCAAGATATGCAGATTGTGTTGTGTATGATGGGTTTCAACTTGAGTCTTAAAGGGATAGTTCACTCAAAAAAGAACATTTATGTTGTTTCAAACATGCATGCTGTTATTCTATGGTGGAAATCAAAAGTTTTGTTTTAATCTAGATGCAGGCTAGACATGAGCTCCAGTAGAGATGAAGATTAGAATAAAAATGATAGAATTATTTTATTTTTGGCCAAACTCTCCCTTTAAGACTCAAGTTAACGGCAAGTTGAACCAGATAAATAAATAAATAAAGGAACACATTATATAATTAGTATTTATTTATTTATTTTGTGTAAAATTTCATGAAGTCAATGAGACATAATCACAAGTTATTTTATTATATTTAATAATCATAATTATAACTTTAAATATTAGCAAAAGAATAAGGTGATCACCTCTGAGGATCTCATAGAATTTTTTTATTTTGACATGAATAATAGCAAGGCTGTGAATTCACCGTCAATAATGAATTTTCATTCTCATCAAATTAGTATGCCGTCTACTCAAATTTCATTGGCTAGTGTATTTGTCTGTCACTGAATGTTATGAAACCCTTTGAATTCTAAACAGGAGGTGCTGAAAGGTGCTGGAGATTTTTTTGCTTGAGCAGTTTCTCAGGGTCACACTCAAAGTAGAGCTATTCCTGAGAGGATGGTGGAAGCAGCTTATTCACAGTCACACCATAAAAACCACTTCATACCAGCATAGAGTTACTAGATAACAGAGATGGAGAGCAGGGCCTGAATTTCGACACTAGTTTGTGGGTATTGAACATAATTTTACTCATTCCTGCAAGTTCCCCGCTTGTAATGTGGGAACTTCCTGCAAACATTTATTAACTATAGCATGTACAGTAGGTTGAAGTAGTAAATTTATCCACATAGGCGACCAGAAAAAAATCTGTAATTTTACAAACAGTGCAAGTGATTTAGGGCTACTGCAAATAGCCCCCAAGAGGCAGGAAGAGAAACATTATTTTTGACATGTAAAAGTATATACTGTTTGTATGTATTCATGATTGCATACGCACACAATTTTCCTTAAAGTGAAATGAAAAAAGACGGTAAGCTTGAGTTGGGGTTTTGAGGAGTAATTCTTGCTCTTTATAGACTGTTTGGCAGAGTTCTAATGATGTCTTCTCTCTCTTACTCCTATCCACTGCACTGATGAAAAAAAAAAAACGAGAGAAAGAGCCTGGTGTTGATCTTCACTTGACAGAGAGGAAGCTGGGGTCAAAAGAGGTCACACAGGACATCTTGCTCGCCCCCCTTCTTTTCCTCCTTTTTCTCACCCTCTCTCTTCCCTCTCCCTCTCTCCCCCTGCCCCTGCCCCCATGCGCTGCCAGCTCATTAAGCTACAAATGGTGCATCAGCCTTGTTCTCGCCAGCAGTAACCCCAAACCTTGGATAAATTGGCAGGCTTGCTGTATTTGCTCCGAAGCCCCGGGTCCCCTTTCAGCCGTGTTTGAAGCCAGCATGGCGGCACGGTTTCCCCAGGCAGGGTGGCTGGAGGCCAGGGCAAAGGGAAGAGGAGAGAAGGGGATGTGTGGTAGAGACAGGGTGAATCAAACACACATGTGTTTAGTCTCTGCGGCAGGAGTGAAATGCCATCATTATCCGGCTGCCTATCAAATAAATTGGCAATTACAGGGCGCCGGATTCCAGTAAACAGCACATTAATGCTTTTCTTTTGGTGTGTGTGTGTTTGCCGAGAGGAATGGGGGACGGCCGTACGTGCCCCCTGAGCGTTTGGTGCCTTTGCCTACCCGTCACCATCTTGCTGATGAGAGACAAAGTAGGAGACGATAATGAGGTCAGTCCAAGCCGCGAACAAAACCAAACTAAAAGGCTTAAATATGACAGTTAATTTAACATCATCGTCACTGCAGTGTCCCTCCTATAGAGGCACCATCCTAAAGCGACTCTTTAACTCTCATTACAGCCTGCTAATCTGACACAGAGAGGCACAGACAGACAGTGAAACAGACCGAAAGGCTGAGAGAAAGCGATGACATTACCTGCTCTTTGGTCGCCATAGAGACTGTACTTTGGGATTTCTGGGTAACACGTT